GGGTTACATAAAAAGGCGGGAGGGGGGCGCGGGGGGAGGGCGCAGCGTCCTTCCTTCCTTTCCTTGCTTCCCTTCTTTCCTTCCTTCCTTCCTTCCTTTCCTTGCTTCCCTTCTTTCATTCCTTCCTTCCTTTCTTGCTTCCCTTCTTTCATTCCTTCCTTCCTTTCCTTGCTTCCAACTGTAACCAAAGTAACTCAACAAGAGCCACATGTTTGGCCTCCCCCCTGGAAATGCCTTGGGTCACATGATCATGACACATTCATTCGCAATGTAGGTGGGCCTTATCATCCACCTTTCTGGCGTTGTCACAAGCCGCGGGGGGGGGGTTACATAAAAAGGCGGGAGGGGGGCGCGGGGGGAGGGCGCAGCGTCCTTCCTTCCTTTCCTTGCTTCCCTTCTTTCCTTCCTTCCTTCCTTTCCTTGCTTCCCTTCTTTCATTCCTTCCTTCCTTTCTTGCTTCCCTTCTTTCATTCCTTCCTTCCTTTCCTTGCTTCCCTTCTTTCCTTCCTTCCTTCCTTCCTTCCTTCCTTTTCTTTCCTTTATTTAAATTTCTTTTTGATGATTTAATTTTTTTTGATGAATTAAAAATTTTTTTGATGATAATTATTTTTTTTTTGATGGTCCTCCCTCCAAATGACCTTTGCAAAGTAACTTATAACTAGCACTACCTTGTAGCTGTGCCACTTGAATCCTTCTTTGGATTGGAGAAAGGGAAACTCTTCATCGGAAAGCGGTAGTGCTTTCATACAAATTTAGCTTGAGAACCAAGTTGTATAAACCTCTCATTGGCACATGTCCCATAATATTCCCCTTTTCTAGATTTTAGTATGTTTAGTATATTCTATCCGCAGATTTGGCGGGTAACTTTTGAATGAATTTCATTCCTCCAGATTTGATGCTTCACTTCCATTCAATTACTATGGTTCATCATGTTTGCCTACGGGGGAACTAGTTTGCCTGCGCTAAGAGTAACCATAGTTCTCATCCTGTAGAGATGGTTTATAACCCGCGAAGGAATTTCCTGACGTACTTCAAAGTAGTTATAGTTACTCTCCAGTAAATTAACATAGACCCTGCCAGATAGGGGTTGGAAGACTAGTTTCCACTATAAATTGGTCATTTTCAGGGACTATGTTAATTTACTGGAGGGTATATAACGTAGTTATATTATTAGTTATGTTTGCCCACGAAAACCATCATAAGTCATCGTTCAATCATCATATATCCTCAAGTTGAAAAGTTGACCCTCATGAATCCCCATGTTGTTTTCATGGCTCACGGGAAAGCTTCTTGGGTCTGTATCCCATTGCCATGATATTCCCATCATTGGGTTCATCAAAGCCGCGTGCCGCCTTAAACAACTGAGATATAAACCATCATCAAACAATAAAGAAACATTAATATCTCAACCGAAAGGTTGTTATCTCATCAACAGATGTATTTTTTCATGTCTTCATCTGATCCTATGAACTATGATTACTTTGAATCACTGAGTTTTCTTTTCGGATGTTTACCAACTTCACCAGGAGTTACAAGTTGGTGCCACCACCTTTTTGGTGGTGGCCCATAGAAAATCATATTGGATTTGGCAACAAAAGTAACCAATAATTATATAGCTCAAACTCAAACATGGGGATATCATAGGAATTCATAGGATATCTCGACTCATTTTCTTTCTCCCCAAGTAACTCATAGTAACTCCGGCCACGCCTTTTTAGGGAAATCGGCCCCGCAGGCTTTTTGTTGAAGGATTTTGATGCAGGTACGCCGAACAACCACCTAATTACTGTCCCACTTATAAGTCAGTAAGTCACCTAAATATCATTTATGGTTCATGATAACCCCATTTATAGCCATAGAAATGGAGCTTTCCAATCCATGCTGCTACCCCAAATTATCCAAAATTCGATCCCCCAGTTAGGGGTTCAGTACCTGACAGTGGCCATGGATCCATAGGGTGTAACTGTAGTTAGTTACTGGTTGAACATTTTAAGAACCCCCATTTAGAACCATCTGGTTGGTGGTTTGAACCCCTCTGAAAAATATGAGTTCGTCAGTTGGGATGATTATTCCCAATATATGGAAAGTCATAAAATTCATGTTCCAAACCACCATTTTTAATAGGTAAACCATCTACAAATGGGCCATCTATACCATGGCTATGTTAAATAACCAGAGGATATAACTGGTATTTTGTGTTTTTTTTGAACGAGTCGTCGCCTGCAACCGCTCTAGCGCCAGGCGTTGCTCCGGCCGTCGCTCCATCAGCTGCATCAGCACCTTGCAGAGCCTGACCACGAAACGGCGACTGACGAGGCAACGGGGGAGACTTCGGTAACAAAAAATCCTGCAGGATGGGGCCCCAGGTCGATGGCATCGCAAGCTAAAAAGGGAATTTAACATGACTGAATCAGAAAAATCAAGGTTTGAACTGTTTCAACTTGGGAAATTGCACTTTTTTCCCAAAGAAGATAAGGATTTCATCAAAACAAAATTGTCCTCGTTTAGCATGATTTGATCAAACATCTCTGTTCGTTCAAATCTAGGAATTCAGTACGATACCAACAGATTTCACATGGGATTTTACATGATTGAACAAACAAGAACGGAAGCAAGGGCCAAGGGATACCAAACACGCCATGGCGTGGATGGTTTAACCAAGCTTGGTGTTTATGTGAACGGAGATTACTCACAATCTGCTTGGGACTTTTTTTGGGGTTGGGTCACGAACAAATGAGACGCCACACAAAAAAATGTTGTTTTTGGCAAACGCATATTTCCATGGAATCGTAGTGAAACACATGCAGAATATACTAGCATACATATCAATGTGGATATCAATGTGGATCAATAAACATCTGGACAAACCTGGAGATCAAATTCGCTATGAAATAAAAAATAGATAGACTGGGAATGACTGGGATTCATATGATGACAAAACAAAAAACGTGCACAAAAATGTCACTGTTAATAGTGATTAGTAGTGATTAATAGTGATTAATAGTGATTAATAGTGGTTCATAGCGGTTAATAGTGATTAAGAGTGATTAATAGTGATTAATAACAAACTACCAGGTGGAATTGTCCAAAAAAAAGAAACCTGGCCTGCCGAAACACACAATTTAAGTCACAGGGTTGCTCGAGGGCTACTGTAAGATGGATGATATGCACCCGTTGCTAAGATTCACCGATGGGAAAGGAGGCAAAGTGCCGCGACTGTTTTACGGGTTGATAAAATGATTATAAACCATCGATATTCTTAGGGTATCTCAAATGTTCAAATATCGAAATGCTCAGGTACTTCTCCTTGAAAACCATTATAATATATATATATATATAATTATACATAAATATTACATATATAATGATATAGAATTATATAGAATAATATAGAATTATATAGAATTATATAGAATTATTTATATCATATATATATATGGGGTTGGCTTTATTTATGAGGTTGCAATAATACAGCCACATTGATTCCGTCCTCGAGTCAAACATAGCAACCAAACAAGAGAAATACAAAATAGGTTCATGACATTCCAGTAAACTAACACAGTTTGTCTGAAAATAGAATGTTCAAATTTAACAACACATTTGATGGTAAAATCATCAATAGTCTACTTCAGAATGGCAGATAGTTTGCAAAAAAATGTTGTGTTCTTTCCGTGACTAGTCAGTCTCTGTTTTAACATATTTCAATATCATTACTTTATAATGTGATCAACCCAACAATAAACCAACCAACCAGTATAACTTAATAGATTAATGCTATGTTCCATCCCAATATTACATACTTGATGAGTGCTATGTTGACCATCCCCAGTCATGGTAGGTCCAAGTGACTGCGGTGACTTCTCGTCGCCCAAGGAGCGATTCACAGCTTTGCCCGCGAGGATGTTGTCACCTGGGGCCATTCAGCCATTCGGAGGCTACTTGGACCTTCAAAACCCCTGTTGGTCTAGAGCCGCTGAAGCAATCTATGGAGGTTTCCAGAAATGGTACCCCAACAGCTTGATGGTTTTCATGGAAAATCCATAAATTGGTGATTTAGGGGTACCCCCCTTGACTTAGGACATCTCCAAAGTGGCGATTTACGGGTAAAACAATGCCACGTTTACCACCCATTTTCCTGGGAATGGTTGACATCATGAATCTGACTGCTTAGTTCCTCTCCTTATCACACGTTAAGACCAACTAGTTGGATATGTCGACTCTTCCATGCCAAACCATTGAAAAAAAATGTGGTTACAGCATAATGCATATCCTATCAAACATCATTGGACCAACTCATGATTTTGCCATATATCCTGGTCAACTCTAATAAGTGGCCTCCATTTATGGGAAAAAAAATCTACCTTTGAATACCAATGAACACCAGAGGTAAAATACAAATGCTTCCCATTTCTAGATGATTCCCGTTTCTCATGAAAAATTAATGTGGTAAACTGGTAAACCCAATGCCATAGTCACCATCCCATTCACCAACCATGACTGGGGGTCATTTTGCATCGGGGATGATGACTGGTATTGGGTTTCTAATGGTTTACCTTTTGTGTCAACCCTTTGAAAAACTGCGCAAGTCTTTTTTTAACTAGTTGGTTAAAAACAATTTCCCATTCATATTGGCCAGTTCATACTTCCCAAAAACCCAGATCCTATCACTCCTTACAAACACCAATCATCATTTATCAGATATATGATGTTATATGCCCATCTTTGATGGTTAAAACCCATACCAAGCCTATTTCATCACCAATCAACAAGGCTATATCAACAATTAGTCACCAGATGCCCTTATGAACTAGGCTTATTGACCACTAATCACCGTTATTAACCACTAACTATGATTAAGCCATTACTAACCATTAACCGCTATTAACTATGAATAACCCCTAGTTTAGCATTGTTAACCCCTATGAAAACTATAGTTAACTATGAATAACCCCTATAGTTCACCCTATTTGTTCACCATGAAAAAAACCACTCCAGGTGCCTCAGCGCGACTCAAAGGCATGACGTCCTGTGAGGACGTAGAAGGCCACGGCGCCCAACTGCCAGAGATCCACCGAGACATAGTCCAGCGCCTGGCGATGAACCGGTGAACGCCTGGTGATTTCGGGGTTGGAAAACGAAGATGAATTTAAAGTGATATGATAAGTGATAATAATCTATAGATACAAAGATATTATCGAAGGAAGTTTAGAAGTGAAACTTCCGACAATATGGACAGTTGAAAAGCAGAGGTGAAAAGAGTCAGAAGAGAAAAGATCAGAAGAAAGAAGATGCAGATGCGCGAAAAGGTAGGAAAGTCGCGAAACACTGTGTTTTTCCAATGATTTGGGGCTCCGGAGGGTCGAAAAGTAGGCTCGCTAAAGCGGCGGGTGCGGAGCCAGCTGGCCAGATGAGAGATGAAAAATTGCACGCCGTTGTGGCGCGAAGCACATTTCCAAGTGAAAATGTACAAAACACACCATTCTCAAACCACTTTTGGAAGTTGAGATGTCGAAAAAGTGCAACGCCGTTGTGGCGCGAAGCACATTTCCAAGTCAAAATGTACAAAACACCTCAGCGTCGGACCACTTTTGGAAGTTGAGATGTCAAAAAAGTGCACGCCGTTGTGGCGCGAAGCACATTTCGAAGTCAAAATGTAAAAACACAAGGGTTTCGGACCACTTTTGGAAGTTGCGATGTCGAAAAAGTGCACGCCGTTGTGGCGCGAAGCACATTTCGAAGTCAAAATGTACAAAACACACCATGTACGGACCATTTTTGGAGGTTCAGATGTCGAAAAAGTGCACGCCGTTGTGGCGCGAAGCACATTTTGAAGTCGAAATATTTAAAAAAAAGGGGGTTCGGACCACTTTTGGAGGCGCAGATGTCGCTTCGCTTCGCTTCACTACACTACATTACACTACACTACAATACACTCCACTACACTACACTACACTACATTACACTACACTACACTCCACTACACTACACTACATTACACTACACTACACTACCTTCCACTACACTTCACTACATTACACTACACTGCACTCCACTACACTACAACTACAACTACAACTACACAACTACACTCCACTACACTAAATTACACTACACTACATTACACTACACTACACTCCACTACACTACACTACATTACACTACACTACACTACCTTCCACTTCACTACACTTCACTACATTACACTACGTTATTCCTCTAGCAAAACCACCAACAACACAAACCAAGGAATGCAGAACCAGCGAGCTGGCATAAATGATTACTCATAGATTCTCGCTCCGGGTTAAAATTATACCGAACAGACTATATCAGTATTCATATACTGTATGGCGTTCGCAAAACGACGGGTCACGCGCCACTAAGTATCTACAAAATAAAACGTGCAGTCCGGAAAGTGAAATGACATGTCTGTATCACGTGCAAATGCAAACACTCTTTTTTCTGCCAAAGGGTTGATCCATGGATTGAGACTCGGTTTCATTCGGCTGAGTCTGAGCACCCGCCTTCAAGGCTGAGGGCTAGGCTGAATGAAAAAGTCGGACAAATCGGAACGTGATTGCACGTAAAGAAATTTGATAACCCAAGAGAGGGTGTAGGTGGGAGGGTAAACCTCTCGGGTCTACCCTAGTCCTTGAACCGAAGGACTTCATATTTCAAAGATTTACCATGTTCCAGAGTAACATGTTGAAGTTTGACTTGGAATCGTTTCACGTTTCACAAGTTTCAAGATGAATTTGCTTCGGAACCTCAAACCTCAAACCACCAACTCTGAAAATAACAGCAGTTGTGGAAACCAGTTCAAGGTTTAAAAAGGTAAGGAGATTTCGTTTGTCATTGTTGGTTTCTTTTGCATCACCCCAGGGACCCCAGGTATGCAAAAGATTTTGTTTTGAGAAATAAGGTTATCATCCTTTCAGGAGCGCTAACTTATTCCTCTAGCAAAACCACCAACAACACAAACCAAGGAATGCAGAACCAGCGAGCTGGCATAAACGATCACTCATAGATTCTCGCTCCGGGTTAAAATTATATACCGAACAGACTATATCAGTATTCATATACTGTATGGCGTTCGCAAAACAACGGGTCACGCGCCACTAAGTATCTACAAAATAAAACGTGCAGTCCGGAAAGTGAAATGACATGTCTGTATCACGTGCAAATGCAAACACTCTTTTTTAAGCCAAAGGGTTGATCCATGGATTGAGACTCGGTTTCATTCGGCTGAGTCTGAGCACCCGCCTTCACCCCAATCCCAAATTGTGCTTAGTCTCTTCAAGGCTAAGCAGGATCACATCCCAGGCAAATTTGTCTTGCATTGCACCACGAGTCACCAAGTCTTGAACTTCCATGCGACTCGGGGCATCAGCTATGTTAGAGTAGCTGCAGACACGACCAAACCAAACTTTCCATTGTGAGGAGTCTTCGCTTGCCACAAACATCTGGACAATGACGTTGCCCATCTGTGTTGAGGAGTAGGCTTTAATCAGAGCCAAGTGCGATGCTTCATTGTCAATGTACATGACCACATATCGGCCGATCAAGCCACCCCAAAGGAAGACCGCTACATAGCCGGCCAGAAGTTCAATTAAATAAATGGGGTTGTCTGAAGCCTTCAAGAACCGCTTCATCACCAAGGCTGGTATGTTCTCGCTGAAGAAGCGCAAGGGTATGCCGTCATGATTGAGAAGCACACCACCAACCGAACCTTTCAAAGTGTCAGCATCAAAAGCTCCATCTGTGAAGATCAAAACAGAGTCCTCTGTGTCAGCTGTCAAAAGAAGGGGTGAGCCAGTCTGGACTCTGGCACGTAAGAAAAGCAAGGAGGAGCGCAACTCTTCATCCAGTTTGTTTCTGACTTTGACTCCTTTCTGTTGCGCCCTCTTGCCGATCCGGTGTATTGAAAGGTTGGCTATGCGCCCAAACAAATAAGACTCAAACCACTGAATGCGCCCTTTGAACGACTCTGCCTCTTTTGGAGAGAGTGAGTCCTTCTTCAGTATGTTGTTGATCTTGGTAAGAATCTCTTCTCTCCTTTCCGAGGTGTGCTTGATGTATACCACCCCTTCGTCAAATTGCGACAAGTCAAATATCAAACCCAAGGCTTTCATCTATGTCCCAAAGGTTTGGCTTTTCTTGCCTTCTTTCGCAAATTGGATGCCAAGCATGTCAAAGAGTAGCCCCACGCACTGATCTGTGGAGTTTGAAAGTGCGTCCACAGACATGGTGGGGAAATCATCAAAGCTGCACCAAACCTGTAAGCCCACACTGAGGATGAAAAATATTGCAGAACTCACCCTGAGGAATCCCGCAACGCTGCCAGTGGCGCCAAATGGCAGCGAGTTCAGCCCAAACAACTTCGGGTCGTTCGAGTCCGGGTCACGAATGGTGATTCTGAGATGAGCTCTGTCTGTTGAGTGCAACGGAGACTGCTTATAGGCAGATTTGAGGTCGAAGGTTTTCCCTTTCAAACAAACTTTGAGACCTTTGTCGCGCAAGACAAGGGCACGTATCAAAGAGGCCGCAATGAAGTCCACTCCATGCAGCGTGAACTTCTCCGGCAAGCCGCAAGCATCATCGAGGCCACATTGTTTGAAGTTGTCTATGACTCGCACCTTCTCTCCTTGCTGGAGTCCAAAGCGGTGGGCTATGACCTTGCTGCTCAGGTCACCAGTAGTGTCTTCCCGCTCCAGTGTTTGTCCAGCTCTGCCAAAGTTTCGGTCCAAGCTGCACGGTGGAGACCTTCGTCCTCCGGCTCTGAAACTTTTTGAAGAACCGCCTTCTGTAGTCCCACCGATGACCTCAGCAAAGCCTCAAAGGTCAGCTTGGGAGGCCTTGGCAAGCTCAAGAACAGTTGCGAGTCTCTCATCCATCCAGAGAGTCGGAACCCCGACACTATGTCCTCGAACAAGTGTTTGTCTGGGAACTCTAAGTCCTCCAAGATCTCTTTGAAGAGAAGAAGTCGCTTCCCTTGCAAAACATGTCTTACGTGTTCATCCAGTTGCTCTCTGAGGTTCCGTTCGTCAACTTCAAGTTCCTTTGCTCTAGCCAGCCATCGCTTGAAGAAAGAGAGTCTGTGTTGTTCCAAGCCACGCCAGTTCTGTCCCAAATTTGCCCCCAACAGAGTGTCCAAGTGTGGGCTTCCTGCATAGGGTAGGAAGCGTGGGTGTCCTACCAAGGCAGCTTGTTGCACAAAATCCCAAGGCTCTCTTGGGATGCCGATGGTTACCAGCTCAACCTTCATGCTTTCTGGGACCTCTTGGAGTCCCAAATATTGTAAAGATGCATCCACTCGCCCGGAAACCCGCATGTCACCCCCTGTAAGAAGTTTGCGGTCGGTGATTCTGACGCCTTTGACTAGGCTCTGTAAAAGGATTGTTGCATCCATGTCAGGTTTGATTACAAATTGTACATAATGACCAAACTCGCTCACCAAAGGACGAAGTTTTTGCCCACGGGGCAACAATCCCATGGCAACTGAATTGACTGCCGTGGTTCTTCGCTCTCCAATTTGTTGCTGAAAAGTATCTGGTTGTTCAATACCCTTACTTTTGAGGTCAGCTACCAATAATGCTGCCACTCTGGCACATAGCAGTTTTGGGTATTCAGCTTCGTCCTTGGTTGGGTAGTGTACCCCATCGGCAGTGATTGTAGGGGTCCATGGTTTATGGACGTGATCCTGAGAACATGGCAGGTTAAAGGAGTTGAAGAAGGAGTCGCTGCACCTCCATGTTGTTTGCTTCTGTCTATCGCCTCCCATCATGCAGTTATGAAAAATATTGATGTATCCAGGGTGGAACTGCAGGAGCTCGACAATGGGGTCAGTTTTCCAAAACAGTGAATTGGTCGGGTTCTCAATCGATACCCTTATGTTCAAAGAAATAGCCAACATAGCAATCCTCTTTGTGGCCTCATACAACAGGTTTGCTTGTTCCACTTTATACAAATCAAGTCCAGCGATGCGCGGCAATCCCATTGGGAAATCTTCCGATCTCAGTGGCTGAGGTGGCGTGATTCCAGCTTCACGCAATCTTTCTGAGATTTCCTGTGGCAGCTTCCGCTTACGAGCTGCTGATCCAGTTCCGCACGGAGGAGCTAAATGTATGAGGCAAAGATTGCGTTGCTCTTGCACAATGAAATCTTCCAAAAATTTAAGGTCTTCTTCCAAAGTCAAATCCAAAATTGTAATGGGCCCCTTTGCACGCTCGGTAGTCTTACTCCTCTGAGGTTAGTTTTTCTAACCTCCATTGTCGAACTGGAAGTGCCAGCAAAAACTTCAAGAAACAACATGTTTTGAAACATCGTTGGCCTTTCTGTAGCTGTTCGGCTAGCACCTGTGAAACTGTTGCTAGGCATCTTGTCCTTTGGAGTACTATGCCCGGGTTGCACCAAATTCGCCTTTGCTCCGTCTGCACTGTTGTTGCCAGGAGCCAGTGTAGCTGCATGACTGAGTCAGTGTTGGGTTTTTTTCCCCGGAGCAGCCTTGCAATTCTGAAAGAAGTGACCCACCTTGCGGCAGTAAGCACAAATATGCGTGCCTTTGCGGCACTTGGGCGGCTGTCCAGTGGCTTCCAAGCAGCAACCGTTCTGTAAATTGTAGGCCCAGCATATGGGCTTCCCATCTGCCGTCTGCTGGTAACAAGTTTTCAGCTCTTCAGGAGGAGTTGGCTGAGTACGGTTCCTTTTGCTAGGCCTGGCCTTCTTCTTTGGCTGGATTGTGCCCGTTGCAGGTGTGGACCCTGAAGACTTGGGGGTTGCTGCAACTGCTGCAGGACTCCGCGTGGGCAAGGCCAACATGTACATGGTGATGCGAGGGTCATGCATCAATCTCTCAATTGCCTCGTCTAACGGTCGCTTTCCAGTGAGTTCAGGTTTGACTGACGCAATGTCTCTGGCCAAAATCGTCCACATCGCTTTGTCAGCCGCCACAAGTTGTTGAAGAGTAACTCTTGCAAAACCAGGTGGAGGCTCAGTAGAGTAGGCCGCAAATAGGGTAGCCAACCACTTCTGAGAAACTTCCCAAGAAACCAGCTCGCACATCTCAAATGCCACCCCACGTCTCTGAAAACACCATTGCAGCTTGATCTCTGAGCCATGGTCTGCGTCGGCCACCTTTGGCCCCTCAGTGTTCACCTTTAAGGTCTGGGCTTCAATTCGCAGCACCCGTTGCGAATCTTTTGGGGCTGCTTGAACTTCAGCTTCTCGCTCGGTACACAAGGAAGGCGATATCCATACAATGGCCCCTGTGTCATACATGAGTTGGCACTTGTCCAGCAACGCATGTGAAGGCTCTGTTTCGCCCTGCACTAGGAATCCTGGAATTTTCTGTTTGACTTTCTCGTATCTGGCCTGCTTTTCTGCAAAGGGCAGTTTCTTAGCACCATCTGCTGCATCTCCAGTCACAGAAGATTTCAGTTGGGACAGGACGAAAGTTGCGGCCTCAAAATGAATACGCCGCAGGATGCTCTGCTGTCCTGCCGTGAATCCTGCGCCCAAGACTGAGGTTGTGAAGGCTCTGAGTTCATCATCTGTCGGCGCTTTGTTCGGCGCTCCACAAGCAAACGCTAGTTCAGAGAAGCTCGAAATGTTCTGTGCTCGCAGCAAGTCATGTAAATTCAATGTAGCTGTTGACAACTCAGTGCACCTCTGCTTGAACGCGGCTTCAGAATCTATCAAACTCATGGCACAGACAACCAACTTCCGCAAAGAAAAACCTTTGAATCACTTCACATGTTTGCATTCAAAATCTGCACAAAATTGTTCACAGACTTCCACAAGTTGAAATGAGCGATCAAAAGGGTACTAGCTTAGTCCCTTTTTTGTGTTGCAACTGAAACCTAAAGAAATTGACTCTGATGATCCTGCAAGTTGAAAAACCGTCTCTCGTTTGCCCTACGTGTTTTGCAGTGCAACTTTCAAAAACATGAAGCATGTTGATGCACTCGATGTCTATTCAAGCACTTTGAAGTGCACTCAAACGTTCACTATGTTGAACCTGGAAATGCAACCACGGTCTCAACTGAAGGCGGAACCCGACACTCTGCAGTGGGTTAGCCCTCCATCAAGGTGGAAGAACCACCCTCGATATGTCAGTAAACTTAAAATGCTCATCGAATTATATACATTGGTCAGCCTCATGTGTCAACGCTGGATGAACCACTCGTGACATCTGGCCCCCAAAGGTTTCTTACCCAAAGAAAAGCCCTAGTGACCCGTTTCGGATGAACCGCAAACTGTCCCTATGCTTCAAGTCAAAGTTGGTTGAACCACACTTGACTCCTCAAGATCAACAACCATCTTGGAAGCTAAGTTCAAGACTCACTCTGCCAAGAGGAAACATCAACACAGGTGACATGTCACATAAAAATAACAATTGACAACATGTCGCAAGGTTGACAGCAATTCTGAAATTGTCTGCAAACAAACTCTGGAAAGTGAAAACATACCTAAGGAAAAACGACTGAGTTGGGTGCCAACCTTGGTCGTCCAAATTGCTCTATTTATTTGGAGCCTCTCGACCAGATGGGAACTTGCCAACCTTCTCATCGCACCGTTTCGGCAACGCGATCTCTATTCAGTCCATTCTATGCTTCTTGCATACATGGCATGTTGCTGAGTCGTATCTCAGTTGGGAGGGCACGACAAAGTTCTGATCTAAAACTCGGACACAGCAAGTCCCATTAGGAAATTTGGCATCCACCAAGTGTAAAGTTTTCGTCCGTCTGTGCTGCATGAAATGGTACCCCTCCGGTGCCCTTGGGGGCAAGAAGACCCTGACTGGCGCCTCGAGCACAACGCTTTCAGCGTCACTATCAGAAGAAGAACTCGTGTAATGAGTGTAATGTTCCTCGTCCATCTCTGCAGTTTGCGTCTCAACCACTTGCACAGCATCTGATAACGTTTTGTCAATTTTTTCTTCCATGAAAAAGTTTTCACCATCACTATCGTTAAAAGACTGCGCGCCAACATCTGAACCTGGGTCAGGCATGCACTGCTTGTTGAATCTTCCAGCTCTGCTGCAATCCGGGTTCCATGTAGATTCGCTCCATCCGCACCTTCTCCATGAGCCATCGCCGCCGAAATCGCCGCCACCGGTGGGAGCGGCTCATCGATCTCCATCTCCTCTTCTTCTCCGCCTTCTTCGTCCAAGGTCAGGTCATAGGCATTGAGCGGATCCGTTTCGCTAAAGCCATACTTGGCTCTTCGCCTTCTGTCCAGCTTGACAAACCCTGCCAACCCGGCTGGGCATTCCCTGAAGTACTCTTCTCCTGATTCAGCTTCATCCACCGAATTCAAGATCCGGAACTGTCGTAGTTCACGACGTTCAGGATCCCAGTCGTCCACGAATCTAATCTCCTGCTTCTGCCGAATGGTGTTGGCTGCCCACTTGAGCAACTTGTCCATCTCCAAGACGTGGATCGCCTCCTTCAGGTAGTACCCAATGAAGATGCCAATGACCATGAAGGTGAGGCCGTAGAAGAGCATGAACCACGGAAACTCCATGAAGACCTCCACCAGCTCAAAGTGCTAAACCATCACCGAGTAGTCGATGCCATCAGCGCGTGTTGCGCCCACCAAAGGTTGCAGGGCCATGATTGTCACTGCCTTCACCATCAGCTTTGAAAGTTGAATTGGAAGTTCATCCACTCCATTTGAGGGTAAAGCCAGCATCACCTGTCTCACTGACTTCATGGTTTGCCCAATCGCCTTCTTCTGGAGATAGACATTGAACTCATCCTCACCAACTGCTGTGTAGCTCTTGGTGTTGGAGTCGTACTGGACCAAGCCAATGACGAACATTAGGAAAGCACGACGAGCTTTTACCAATCGTTTCGTCCCAAGGTCGGCAGTGTTCAGGACCGTGGGTATTGCATCCAACTCAAGGGCACCTTCTTTGCTGAGCTACAACATGTCCAACAAGAGCAAGCTCAGTGAGATTCATGGCCGAGCAGATCCTGATGATCTGAACACCGACCTTGTGCAGGTCTTCACAGATGCGGACTGTGCAGGTGATAAATCAGCAGGTGGGAGGAGGAGACATTCAGTCTCATCAGTGATGCTCTATGTCAACGGCAAGTTGGGTCAAGAACGCAACGAAGCATTGCCTTGAGCAGTTGTGAAAGTGAATATCTGGCCAGTGTTGGTGGAGGTGCAGAAGCTCTCTACATTGCTGCACTATGGGAGTTCCTGGTCAGACAAGAAACCCAAGCCAGGATTGCATGCGATTCATCGTCATGCAGAGCCCCTTTTCTCAACGACAGGGAGTTGGCAGGCTGAAGCACATCAACGTGAAATACCTGTGGCTTCAACTGAAAATCAGGATGCCAAGGTCAGGTGGACCTTTCAAGTGCAAAATCACATGACGAACAGCAGCTTCAGCTGCCACCGTTGGAGGTGACATATACTGGCTCAGACTGCTCACATGTCGGACTGAGTGCTGGATGTCAATCCTGTCCTGGCTGAGGTAAAGGAGGGTTCCCATTGCAGATCGGAAGCGATGTTTGCCCTTCTCATCCAACTCTTCAGAGGTAAAGTTCTCACCACTGACATCAGGTGGGCTTGCGGTGTTGCAAACCATATGCTTCACCAGTTCCTCCGCGCACTTTTCATGGATCACCCCCGCCTCCGTGAAGAGGTGTCTCTTCTTCAAGAACTTGATTGGTTCACTTGGATCTTGATTTTCTCCAGGAACTATTTCTCAAAGTGAACTTGTTCTTCAGCTCCACTTGCAAATGCGAAGCATGCAGCAAGTGTATTTCGTAAACAACCATTGGAGTTCTTGTCCATAAACTTTGGCACCAAAACCTTTGCACCATCATGCAAAGTCCAGAAAACGTCCAAAGACACATCAATCCCAGATGTTATTCCACCATCCTGCAGCAAATCCAGAGCTGTGCACGAAGAAGACACCAAATTCCAGTTGCCACACCAAGTCATGCAGAAACGTAGCACATGTTCACCGTATCAACGGGAATTTATACTTCCATACCCCCTTTTGCTACGATTTGCATGCAGTACAGCCAAGAAAGTTCACGACATGCAACACAATGCAAAAATATGTATCCATCTGATCTGAAAACCATTGTGAGGATCCGCACACGAAGTCATCTCTTCCCAGCAGTTGCAGGTGTATCGAAAATATCTGTGTACGATAGTTATTCCTGTGTCATCGCCGTTGTCTGTGTCCACATACTCATTGATGCAGAAAAGTTGAACCAAAGTGCCAAGTGCCTGAACAGGCTGGGCATCAGTGGGGTGTTCTCCATGTTGAGAGCTTGCAGATGTTCACAAAGAAAATCACAGAATCTTGCTGCGGCATTTCTTTGTTTTTTCTGTCCATCGCCTCTCAGCTTTCGCCAAGTCGATCAACACACTATTGCATGCTGCAAATTGCCAATTAATCAATGCAGTTACAAATTCTTCCTCTTGATGAAAAGACGAACAAAAACCGAAAGGGAGGTCCTGTCTCCATCCGCCCAGCCTCCAAGTAAAAGGTTTCAACATTCAGTGCTCAGAGCAAACCTGGACTTGTCCTGCCTTGATCCCTTGACCCGCCTCCTCCGAAAATACCTTACACTCACCCCCTTCATCGCCAACTCATTGGAAGTCGGTCGTCTTTCTCACGTCTTGCTGGACCAAGAAGCTTCTGACCCTGGTCCACCACGACTTCTACGTCGGCGCAATGTGGCCGATGAGCAAGTCGCGTGCGACGGCCTTTTCTGGTCTTAGATCCGGGTTCCGGCGGATCTCCTTTCCCATCAACCGTCACGAACGCCGACGAAACGAGAATCTTCCAGAGGTTGTCGATGCTCTACACCCTTTCTGTTGCGAGAATCTGACCTTCACCGAGCAAGTGTCTATGTTTGTCTCTTTTTTTCCGTCCAACGCCTTCATGGCTTCCGCCAGGTCGTTACACACGTTCAATCGCAGCAAAAAGATGAATTGCAATTGTCATGCAAGGCTGTCTACTTGTCGATAGCCACAAGAGCACTGGTAGTGGACCTGTACACAGTCCAGTGAGCGGTCCCATCAAGAAAAAACAAAACCAAAAAACACAAACCAAAAACAAAAGCAACCAAGCAAACAAAACACACAGAACCACAACCAAACCAAAACAAACAAAAAACAAAGAGAAGAGGGATCACTACCAGCTATGAGAATAACATGCACGATGACAACTTGTGTGTCATTATGAGTATGGCCACCGAAAAAGAAGCAGAACAAAGATAACACCGAACAACACCAGGGGCCAGGCAAGAGGGTGATAGAAGCAACAAAGCTCAATGCGGAAACCAGGGATCCCCCCAGCCAGGATCCCCAGCCGTTCAGGCATGACGTTCACCCAAACTCTCTATTTTCCTCTGAACCAAAGCCTCACGAAGTAAACTGTCCACCATGTGTGTTACATGGTGCAACTCAAGTGTTTGGTTTTCAAACGTGTTTTGAGTAGTTTTCAACTAGCAAACAACTGCTACCTGGGGCTAGAGTGCTACGACAAATCTAGATACCCCACCTTGGGCATATGAGCCTGTTAGCTCAAATGGCCAAATTTGTGAAACTTGAAACGTAGCTATCGCCATTTCATTGGGATCACGTTAACCCATGGCGAAACCATTTTCTTTTCTCTTTTGTCTTGTCCTTTTCCATTGCCATCTGCAAACCTGGCTTCATTTCTCACACCGAAGGGCTATGCACAGTGGATGGCCCTGTTGTATTGCTACTGGCATTCTCTGACTCATCATCGCTGATATCCAGAATGCTATTCATCATATACAAAGCATTGGGTCTTTGCATTGGATCTCGTCGGCAGGTGTTGAGCACTGAGGTCATAATTTGCCGACGCTCCACATAGATTTTCACTTTCTGAACATTTCCAGCTTCAACATGTTTGACCAAACGCTTGCTCAAACGTTCGATCATCCACTGAGCCATGTGCTCTGGAGAGTTGTGCTCGAAGGGAGGAGGAATTGTCATTGTAAGGTATTCCTCGGGCATCTCATCTGGTATGTGTGCCTCTAGTTCCGGCTCGTCTCCAGTTAGCATAAACTCCTGATGGGCACAGTCTTGGACTCTGAAGTCCTGATCCACTGCAGTAAACTGTTGAGTTATCGCCAACAGTCTATCCACGCTCGTGGAATTGAAACCATTGTCCTCGAAGCTTTTGAAGCATCCAAGTAGTTGCTGTTCCAATGCAGACAACTGCATTTCCATTTCAGGTTCAGTTGTCGATCGCAAATTCTCGATGCGACCAACGCAAGCAGTAACGAAGCAATACACCAATGCTTCATTGTATGTTCCATGTTCTTGCAAACTCTGTTCCAGTGAAAACGTATCGGGCTCGTTCTCTGGTTCATTGTTGCTTCCAGGCATCATGAAGCAAACACTGGTAAACCAAAAGACCATTGCAACCAGGGTGAGAAACACCAATCCCATCCTGCAGGTCAGCCAGAGGCTCAAGGCTTCAGTTCCTTGAGCAGCTTCGGCCATTGATAGCAAACTGTAAGTTGCAAGCACACGCAAGACTTGCTTGGAAATACTGCTGAGGTGTGGCAGTTTTGCTCCATCAGTTCCCAGCTCTGAGTTGATCACACGGTTGACCACATTGATCTGGGATTTCATCACTGCTTTTGTTTGCATCTTTGTATATTCTCTTTCACCAACACGTCCATCTGCATCCACATAACCAATCATCCAAAGCAACGCAAAGAAGCGCTCACGTGTCAAACCTTTGGTGTTGAGGTCGGCTATGTTGTAGGTTGTTGAGACCTGTCTGATCTCGATCTCCTTCGCTCTTAGCAGCTGTTGCATCCACATCATTCTTCCACTGATGTGTCTGAGCCTTCCAACACCAAGCTTTGCTGCTACATTTCTCACTGCACTGTTGTCAACATGTAGGACCACGCATTGCACATCACCAGTCAGAAATTGCACAATGTTTCGAAGAAACAGACTGTCGCAGGTTGCTGCTGACCCAGCATACCATTCAGCCTCTGTTGAAGAAAGGCTGATCGCCTTCTGGCTTCTCGAAGTAGAGTGCACAATCAGACCATTGAGCACGTGCATCGCTGAGGAAGTGCTTTTGAATCCAGTACCACCATTCCAGTCTGAGTCACTGTAGACTTCCACAACGTTTTCAGCTCTTTCAGTTTCAACATTGTTCAAAGTTTCCATGAACATCTGACCTTTCTGAGTCTTGCACATTTGGAATGCGAAGTCCTTGCTGAAACGCAAGTATCCAACCAGTCGTCCAAGAGCAACCCATGAGGCCTGTGTGGGGGCCTTCAAATCACAAGCCAAAGTTTTGGTGGCATACTGAATGTCATACCTCTCCTGGGCCATGTACATAGCAATGCCAACAAGTGATCTGTATTCACTGCTCATCCAGTCACTCAACGCTGGGGAGTTGGCTGCAAAGTGCGCAGGGTTTTGTAAACAAGGCGTTTTGGACAACTTGGCAGGCTTGCCATTGGCTAAAGCAAAACGTTCAACCATCGTATTAACATGTTTGGCCTCTGGGTGGATTACTATGGTCTCATAGTTTGGGGCTATCACATGTAACCTTTTCAAAAACTCAAAGCTTCCACCCTCATGCCTCGGTGCAAACGTGTAGCTGATTTTGAACTCAGACTCCAGGTGTGGAATGAGCTCTTTCGTTGCCCACTCTTCTGTACCATGAAAAAGCAGGTCATCGACATGCAAAAGGATTGCACCAGAGCCACATTTCAACAGGCATGGCAGTTCTTGACAAACTTCCAGCTTCATCTTCGAATCAAGCACAGAAACAAAGTGTTGATACCAAA